TTTGAATTTATCAGGTTTTAGTTTGATTTTTATCATCTATTCCGCATAGCGAAGTTGTCTTTTTCGAATTTTTCAATGAAGATTTTCATTTTTATGTTTGAATTTTCAAGCAAGAGGTTCGCAGATCTGTATATAGCTTCTCATTTTCAATCGCCAATCTACGCTCTATCCATTGTCTTTTGTTTCAGATAACATTCTGTTTTCATATATAATCAGGTTTTCTTTTTTTTCATCTTTGATGTTTCGTTCAAAACCTTTTATTGTCCTTTCGTTTTATCTGTTCGAATTTGTCATTGCTTAAAATTATCGTTGGATTTAACAAAGCCTACTGGTTGATTTGATTGGAAAATACGCGTGATTTCTTGTAAGGTGCTCCGAGGTCATTCAGTGAATATTCACAGTGCAAAATGTAGGAGGTTGGTGACGGTTTCGAAATTATTAGCAAGCGTTGAATTGAACACTCGTCTGTAGATACGATGGGGAACTGGACTGGAATCGTTAAAAGATATCAAATGTTCGAGATAGAACAGTGTGAAATATTGCTGAACGGATGAGTTCATGTTTAAGTTTAGGCGTAAGACTGGATTTGAGTCTAACTCAAGGCAGTCTAGAATTTTAGCTTGCCAGCATTGGTCCTCTGATAGATCGCACTTTACTTCATTGGTAAACACGTTTGTCGACTGTAACTTATTTTCATGTAAAATTCTTTAATTGTTATCATTCTTGCAATCATCAGTAATGCGATGGTGCAGTGATTTGTAGATATCCCATTCCATATCAATCTTTATCAGTCTTTAAGGTTGGGACACTTGGAACAGTGTTATTTTTTGTATTGTTTTAGTTTTGAATTGCGGGCGAAATTATTTGATGAAAGAAAGATTCCGTATTCAACATAATATTTACTGTTATCTTTCTTCTATAATTTTTTATCACCGTTTATCATCTTATCATTGTTATCTTTAATGTTATCACAATTTCCATTGATAACTATAATAATGGTATAACCGGTATCATTTGAATATCACTGTAATTGTAATATTGCATATTTTTCTGATCATTTCATTTACAATAAACCTTCATTCCCTTGTTAAAAATACATTCATGGTCAGTTTCGTTTCGTGTTATTCGAAAGTTTTGACGCAATTTGTGACAAAAAGCTCGTGACTGTCACATCTAGACATAAGAACTCAATCACCAGGATTTTGCAGATTTCATCGATGCTCTTTTCTGGGTGGTTCAAATTATGAGCCTAATCCTAAGACTGAAAGCATATTTATTCACGTTTAGAATGTTCGGATAGAGCCAAAAGTCAGCTCTCTGAAAATGTTACGATCTTATCATCGAATAAATCAACCAGCTCTAGTGATGAGTAATCGCATGGTTTTGCGTAAGCATCTCAATTGTTCTGTCCTTTCTAGACGATATTCTTCGCTATAGGACTTTCTTTAGCCTAGTTTTGTTATCAGCTCAATGTTCGACGGCAATGTATCTCACAATTTGAGTTTCAATAGGTCAGTTGAGTGTTAATGAGCTTAATTGGTTGTTTACAGTGTGAAATGATAACAGAGTCTGATAATGGCTAATTATCTGCATTTGTGAGTTTAAAATCATTTTGTAACAACAATACATTACTATTACCACTCTCGAACATCACTGGCGGATGGCGTTGAATTCACGCTATTCTGCGAGATGAGCGAGATTTGCCATCACGTGCGCGATGACGCCGAATATGGCTCCCGTATACTCCAGATCACCCTCTTTGAAGATACTCATGTAATCCGCATCGGTATGATGGTATTGGAAGTAGTAGCTACGGCCTTGATCCGGTAAGTAGTTTACCGAAGGAATGCCCTCATCAGTCCATGGTTGAATGTCACCCTGAAGATATATTGAAAACATCCTGAGGTAGCTACAACAATATTAGTAATAGCAACAGTTCAGTACTTTCATAGAATATTGACGATGCACTGAATGAGATGTGCAGCACATTATAACTTACATAATTCATTTTGAATTAATGACAACACGAACGTAATGCTATGATAAAAACTCAATGTTGTGATAATAGTAATAATTATAATTTCATTTTCAAAATTTTCAGTAATTGACTATGCTAATCAAAAAGTAGTAAACCGCAATAGTTAGTTGATCACCAGCACAAGTCATTACGACTAGATGAATACTTCTAAATAATCACTAACAATATCATAAATATCAGAACATTTTTCACGCTTCTACGACCCTCTTTAGCCATAGCTAAAGACAGCAATCAGACAGCAATCACCCTGTTTATGGGAATTCACCTCGAGTGATGATTCAACAGCTACAGAGCACATTAATGCTGATCAATATCAAAGAATATATTGGAATATGAAAAGTACTTCAGTGGACTTCAACTCAAAGCAATTACCTGTCGGTCGTTGGGTAGGACTGAAAGTGGAATACCGTAATCGTTCAATATTTCCACAATTTCATCCATTTGTTTGGTCTGAAATGGATGGCATTGAGTTCAACCGTCCGTGGATGATTTAAGAAACTGATATGAGATTCACTCCAAGATATTTTATGCTAAATACACGTTGATCTACAGGTCAAGAATGCTCGTTCCTAGTGAATTTGCACATNTCAGAAACGAACACAAAATGTTCATTAGTATCGTTTTTATGCGTTTCATAGTAGTAGCGAGCACCCAGCAGACCTTGCTCTTCGGCTGTCCAAAATGCGACACGAATGGTTCTAGAATGAAAAGCGGTATGGGTGATATGATTGCATTTCAAAGCATTAAAAATCTTAAAAATTAGAAATGTATTCGGGACATCAACTGTGAGCTTTCCATGAACCTAACTGTTTCATTGTCGTATTCAGTTGGAATTCATCGGAAAGTTTTCATTTTTAAGGTCTTATCACTGTATGCAAATGCGCTGCATGCTATTGTACGAGATCTTCACGATAACTGCAGAAAATATCTGCAAGAAAACAAATAAACGAATGAAACACGAACCGTTTGGGAGCGAATATAGAATTTCTTTTCGAAAGTTGTTTCAGCGCATACAAAACACTCCACATGACCGCACAACCACCGCCATCGTCCAATGCTCCTTGTCCTACATCCCAAGTGTCCATATGTCCCGACAGAAGTACCACTTCAGACGGCATCTCGCTACCTTGAAACAGTTACGATGAGTATCCCTATTCCATATGATCACGGGAGACGAATGGTAATTCAGGATGAATGATTCCAATTGGTATCGTTTCATTAACTAAGCGATTCTTGTGAAGAAGTTGGGAAAATGTTCATTTCTGAAACTTGAGAAGTTATTCACAGTGTTCCAGGTGGAATGAAGCCTGTATAAATGAATCATAATTGGCGATTCAATGTAGCAGATGTAATCAAGCTTGATACGCACATAAGATCTGTTCATTACTGTATTAATTTCTCTGGTTATCTAAATTACCCGAACAGTCGATTTCACATTTGCCCATGAATCTTTTTGATCTCAATAGATTATTTTACTGAATAGTATCGAGAGGGATTTGGAAAATCGACAACAGATCGAAACGCAAATATATAGAAATGAACTGAACACAGAGCATTCTGTCTATAGTTGATCATAATCTCACCTTTGATTTCGAAGAGAATATTTCTCGAAGAAACATTTCCGTCTGGATGTGATTTAATATCCAGGTTAATGATGATTTTTTCACCTCGTTTTTGCATTCTATACAACATATCTGCTTCTTCTAGTGTGATCGTTAGTGCTGGTATTTTTGATCCTGAAAACTCAAATCGCTACAAAATTTTATTGTTCCAATCATTATTTCAATCGTTGTTTAGTTGATGGAAGTCGTGGGACTTTCCAAAAACAATCTTTTCATCCGGGAGTAAATGTCTGCATTTACATTTAAGATTTTGCCGTTATCAAGCTTCTTGACGAATAAATTTCGTTCTTTAGTTTTAGCTTACGAACTGATAGAACACCTTCAGATGGCACAACATATATCCTATCAAGAATCCAAAAATCCAAAATCCAAAGTATTTCTTCAGAAATAAAACCTCGAGCGCCACTGCCTGTATGAGGCAATGCTGGAGAGAAGGGAGTTATTGATTTGACGAGCACTCCGACGCCACCGTGTTCTTCGACAATTTTTGCCGACCGTCGGTACTTAACCGTTTTACCGTAACCTTTCCATTTTTGATCGAACACCACTATTTTACCAGTCACATTGATATGCTGCAAAAATGCATTCATCGAATAGTGGCGATTGTGCTTCTTCAACTTTTATTCATCAATTTTATTGATGCTTGAAGTGACGGCTAAAGTATCACTCATTCCAAAGTTTGAATTCAAATTTGTACATTGTAATATTTTCATTCGTTTCGTCAAGAAGATGTAGTTTAAGTAATCATTGATTTTAATGAGAGGAAAATTAGTTAGCTATCTTGAAATGACTATTTTGTCATGTATTGAGTAATTGATTGCACTAAAGTATGTTCAAGTCCTAAGTTCCAAGTTCAAACTGAGGTATGGTGAAGAAAAGTGAAAGAAACCTTCAACTCATCGTAATGTTTCACTACAACAGCTTCTGCAGTTATGTTCGCTGGTGGGCAACCATCAATCGCTAGTGCGTTGAACTTTTGCAGTCGAGGTTCTGAACGAAGAGATTTTCAGATAATCTATCTCGAATAATCCCAATTCAGATAATCCGAATACTAATCCAGATAATCCAAATATTAATCCAGATAATCCGAACTTCTATTCCACATTCATGAGCAGATTGGCAATTAAACCAATGAAGATAATGAGAGTTTTGGTATATCAGTTGGTGAATGAATGCAATCGACAAATTTTAAAAATTTCTCCAGACATCTTCGAATATTCCCAGTTTGAATTCAAAGAATACAAATATGCGAAAAAGGGAATAAACCATGATGGTGTTCGGTTCGTTAAATTCTACATAGCGATTTGTGATTTAATAAAGAACGTCGATCTGAAAAACTAACTGATCATTTGTACGAGGTCATCGCCCCGCACCCACTTCGGTAAATCAGGCACCTCTTCAGTGTGCACATTATCGAAGCCATCCTTTTTCAGGCCCTTTACCACATAGTCGATTGCCCTGAAATGTTTTCAGCTGCTTCAGTCAAATTTCATGAACCAACCCTTGAAAACCTTTCAACTTTCTCACATGGTTGCACATAGTGATGTCTCTATTCCGGTTAAACTGTTCTGTTCCTGTTCTGTTCCATGGTATAAAATAGAACAGTTCGAAAATGAGGAAAGAACAGTTTGGAACAGAATAGAGTTGTTTTTGAGCCCAGAAGAACAGAATAGGACAGTTTTCAAAAAAGTGGTATAGAGACACCACTAGTTGCACGTAGCAAAAACCCCGAATCTGAACTTCTCACGATGTTGTAATTACTGAAAATCAACCATTTTCCGGCTTTCACTCCATGAATTGAAGCTGAAGTCTGTTATTTGTCTCTCGAATGATCGATCACTCGAGACAAGGCTTTAGCTTCAATTTTTAATGAGCTAGGCTGATCCAGAAGACATTCAGTTGAATCAATGCAATTAATCAACGATTTAAATCGACTGAATGGTCTGATCGGCTGTTAGATCAATGTTTTGATTAATTGTACCATCAGTAAGAATGCCCCAGATAACAGCTGATCTCGAACCAAACTGCAGTGACTCACCTATCCAAGCTTTCACTGCCAAGATGTCGACTGCCGAATTTATCCACCAAAGTGCTCAACCATTCATAGGCCAATCCCGTGCCTTTTCCTTTGACAAAATAGTTGATTAGTTCATGAGAACTTCTATTGTACTGAAAATTTCACTTTGAAACGTTCAAATTCTTGTTGTAAGATTATTATTACTGTTTATATATTGAGATTATTATTACTCATTACGGTTGAGATTACTATTCATTTCGAATGAAGGATGCACTACATTGTGCGGAACGAGCGTTTTAAAGATATTCACAAATTTTGGCAGTCAACAGCGGGAAAATGTGCATTTTCAGTTAATTTTTTTCATTTTTCTCATTTTATCAGCAAATTGTTTGGAGGAAGGAGGTGTTTCGGATGATCAATTCATTTTTTAAAATTTTGATTCAGAGCATCGAATGATCCTATATTCATCGATCATAGGCTTTGATTAGTTGTACAGTCATTACGGCAATCTATCAAATGCATTAGCACTGTGTAGTTTTCTCGCTTTCAAGGCAAGCAAGTCCTGCCTATTGGAAGGCTTAAGAAACAGAAATAGCAAATTCAATTTGTTTCAGTAGATTAAGTTAGAAAACTCTGGCAAATTAGCATCCAGGATTAAAATTCTGCTAGATCAGCAGCTGAATCAACGATCAACCGCATATTTCTTGATGATGGCTAATCGGCAAAAGAAACAATTTGAAGCAAAGATGAAAGAGGACTGGAAACGAACCTTCTGAATGATGTCTTCATCAGCCTTTGATACCACAAATAAGGAAAGAACAACTATTAACTGATTGATTAACATATTCTCAGCATTCGAAATGAATAGTCTAGTAAAATATGAAATGAATGAAATAAATTAAGGCAAATATCCGTCCTTGTTAGAGATCAATGAACCACTGGAATGGTTTTCAATCTGCAATGAAATTATTGAAGTTCAAGACGGTGGCATAAATTATAACGACTCCGAGCAACGTTTCATTCCGAAATGTCTTCGCTTTATTCTATTCGATCAGATAAAACAATTGATAGCAATTTTTCGCTGATAACATTAATGTTTTTGCTGGTGATTACAACAATAACTGCAAAAATGAAATGCAGATAGTGATAAAATTAATGCGATTAGTGTTATTGTGTGTTTGTCATGAGAATAAGACTCGTGATCGTCTCACAATATCTTGGAATTCAATTTATGAATTTGTACAGAAATAGCAATGGTATCAATAGCTCGTTAGTGAACTGGTACCCTGTTGTTATCATTCGCAGTATTGTTATGTCAAAGGTAAACATTTTTATCAGTAATAATCATAGCGATTTTTTCGATATTGTTTTCAACTGAGAATCCCTCATGCCTTTATAAATAAAATTGCTTGGTTATATTGTTAGATGATTCATTTTCCATTGCCTTTGTATCTTATCTAGACCAGTCAGTTTTTCAAAACCGACAATACAGCATCATGAACGTTTGAAAAACAATGAAGGTTAAAGAATTTGGTGTTTATGTCGGTTGCAATTGCAGTCAGTCATGATATTTTGCTGTGATTCTGAGCTACACACGCACGTCAAAACATTGCTTAACATGTAAAGCATAGTACAATGGTACAGTATGATACAGTACGGTACAGTTACGAAATGTGACTGAATCATTATCAATAGAACATCAAATGGAATCAAAAGGCTTGATCAAAGGAATGTGCATAGTGGCAAGTAAGAAAATAAGGTGGTAGAATATAGGAGATACGATCAATTAATAGAACATCTCTGATATCATCATGAAATGAAATACTTACTTACTAAAATAGTGAACAGTTGAGAAGAGGCCACGCTACGGAGCCAATAAGATTCAATTATTTGCTATTTCTAAAAATTTTGGATTCGCTAGTTGAAGTACGACTGACCAAAATGCTGACAATGATGTGTTCTGGAAGCAAAACTAAAGTCTGTGTTCGACACAGCAGAAGTTTCTGTATGGAAGGAGAAAAGAATCATCGAGAGAACGCCGTGAAATTGTTTTGAGATCCATTATGGTTATATTTCATTAGATGAATTTTATGGTGTGAGATTGAATACAGGATGACGGCAACGTCAGCATTCTTTTGTGTTGATTTGATTTGCTGAGAAAAACAAACCATTCTATTTGATTTCAGTTTTGCTATTGACATTGGAGCAGAGGAAAAGATGTTGATGAAGAGAATCGCTTGANAGTTGAATGCAAAACAAAAACATTTGATCAAATTTGATCATTTTGAGCATTTAAGCTTCTAGATGTGATAGGTTTGAAATACTTACTCGCATATTTCTTCGCTTTCTATGGGCCGGAGGTTCTCGAAACAAAAGCAGTGTGATGAAGTGGTATAGTGGTATTAAGAGCTATGATATGTGAAATTAAGATGAGAACTCAAAAATTACCTAATTGTAAAAGCATTCTTGCAGTCATTATTCTGCATAGATATTGTTATGGTCATTATTTCCAGCATCATCTTCATTTTAAGGGTTGCATCAACTTTTAACGAGTGATCAGCAGGAGTGATCGAATTTTCATCAAACTGATCAATGCAATCAAATCCCCACTGAAATTGTTTCGCTCTGTCGAAAAGCGTAGCATCGAAAGAACGAATGTGACGGGTTTTTTCAATTGTGTTCTCGCGGAAACTTGAATTTCTTAATCGAGTTTTCTTGAGAATCATTCTTTTTCGCAACCACTTTCATGATTATTCACTTAATAACTGTCAAATTTTTTCATTTTTTTCCATTTCATACTGTATGGACATTTTCTGTTCGCTAAATGCTCTAAAATTCTCATCTTTTTCCTCCATAAACCAAACGAATTTTTCCCGTATTATGCAATCGAAAGATTTTTATTCATGGTATCAGAATTCCACTCGATTCTCTTTCCTGAAACAATGAAATTTCAGTCACTTCCAGAACTCAGTTTTCGACGTTCAGTGAAATTTCTCACATTGGTCAATTTTAATTCTATCACACGTTTGAATTCACTCAAAAAATCTTCGGTGAGCTATTTTAAGAGAGAAATATTCACCGTTATCGCTTTCAAACAGTCAGTTGATGTTGTCATCATAAACGTCTTTTGTTTTGAAGCATGAATTCAAAGTTTTGAGAATGGGACTTGAAAAGTCTCAAAAACCATCCGGAAACGATTGAATAACACGAATTAAACGTTCTCATCGAATTGTATTGTATTAGCTCAATTCAACGAGACAAATTTGGAGAATGAATAGAATTCCTGAACGAACGTCAATTACAGCAAGCAAAAGCACTGAAAGCGAGTAGAGACAAACCAAACAGTCCAAATAATGTCCATATGATGAACATGAATCTGCTTGAAACTTACCGAACTTGGAGACAGATTCAAACAAAAGAGGAGAAATTGAGAACGTAAGAGATCTCGAATGAGAGCAAACCGTTAGCATTGAGGGAAATATCAGTTAGGAAACGTTTTTTTGATCTGTAGCTCTAGAACACTCATTGAATCAGTTGTGAGGCACTTGAATAAAAGCGAATAAGCAAAATTTGAACGAGTGCGAGGAGAATTTCCACGAAAAAATTTCACTACTTTTCCGAAATTCGAAGGTTCAATTCGCATAACTAACTTTTCATCTGGAGGTTTTCACAGTGATTTGCAGCAGTTGACAAGCACCGCAACTCCGTCGCCTTAAGTAACCATTCATATGGAATGAAATGAAATAACAAGTGGTAAATCCGAGAAATAAGTAACCATATTTAAGGAAGAGTGCAATTACGGCGGCGTGGGACGATATGATGATAGCAGAACAGAAAAAAGGTGGCAGATACTTCGAAAACATGCATGGAAGGGAAAGCCTCCCATTACAGTTGAACCATTATTACAAATATTATAGTTTACAAACAATCTTTGTTATGGATAGTACATTTGCAACTAGCAATTATTACAAATCATTTCGTTTTATAGAACCAGTTTCTGTGAAAGTACTTGTTCGACGGAGAAATATTTCAGTCCAAATTAAGTTAATTCGTGAAATAGATCGGCGAG